TATAAAGTGATCATTATCGTTAGCAAAGTGAAATATAAGTAGATACCCAAAATGGTCCAAGAAAGAAACAACAATTGACAACCATCCCATCGGCCATTAACTCTAAAATTAATCTTTTGTATTTTTATCGGTGACCCAATGATGGTCCACTTTGCCTAGTTTACGTATTTATCCACTTTGTTTTTGCTGATTTAATTAGTTTGAGTTAAGCGCAGCAAACGAAAGTACTTTGATAGAGACAAATGCATAAATTATGCAAATTTTTAAACTTTGTCTTTAATATTAAAATGTATAACAAAAACCAGTTTAAAGATTTTACACATTAGTGTTTAGGGACTTCGTTTGATACAACACCGATCTTTTGAACAATTTAAGTTTTGTTATGATTACTTCTAAAACTTCTTACTTTTTAGAGTAGCTGATGCAATTGTTAAAAGACAATTTAACAAACAGAAAGAAATTTAAAAGCTATGATTTAAAATAAATAGTAAAACACTCAATATCTTGAGAGTTTCCAAAACCCTTATTTTAGGGTCGCTTTTACATAAGCATGTTACATGCTTATGTAAAACATCTATATTTCTATATTTCTATGCTAAAAATCAAAAGAGTTTTCTGTTTATAGGGTTAATTTTTGATGACTTTAGTTATTTTTTTTTGATTTAAGAACACTTTTTAAGCCCTTTTTTTTAAAGAAGGTATCGATAAATGGTAAATAATTTTTTAAACTCTTAAAGAATGGATTCACCTCCTTGTTTGTAGTATGCCTTGTTGTTTGTATTAATATATATACTTATAATTTAAGTGAAATACGCTATAAACTACTCAACCAAAATGTTTTTAAGAATATCTAATCTAAAAACAAGACATTTAAAATAAAATACCTTCAAAATATCATTCTAATTCTAATATCCTTTTCTTTCTATCCAAAATTATTAAATTGCATGCTCTTGTACATATTTTAAATTGTCTATTTGTCTGAAGTCATACACAAGTTACCCTACCTCTCTTAATCTGTATTTTCTTTACTTCTATAAGAAGTTCTTCTATCTTTTAGTAACCCATAATTATATATCCTAAATCATTGTTCAGTTAGTGGAATAATTTGCCATATTTTATTCATGGAATCATTTTTTTTATATATTCAATTTAAATCACTACCCGGTGTGAAATGAGCAAGCGACTAGCTAGCGACTAGCTAGCTCCATAGCAATTTTAAAGCGATTTTTTTTTTCTTATTTTATTTTTTGCAAATGTCTTTAACATCTTTAAAAAAGCTAGCGATCCTCGTGGCCAAATCGCTGTCTTTATCGTAATGATTATACCTAGCTATTTGCTAGCCGAGTTCCCAGCGGGTAAACTCTACTATTAAAACTCGTCTATATGCCTTTTTTTTGAGAGATACTGTTTGTAAAATGTTGGGCTCATTGTGGATTATTATTATTATTATTGCTTTTGGTGTGATTATATGTAATATAAATATTATTATAACATTATTTTACTATTATTTATATCATTATTACTTATTGTTATTGTTTATAATATTATTGCTATTTTAGTATTATTATTGCTAATTTTTCTATAGATCTATTCTAGCACTATTTCTAAATATCCATGAAAAGCATGTGTATGTTTTATACATACAAACACATGATATATGTGTGTTTTCTTTTTAGCAATTGCAAATTTCCAAATATACGCAATGTAAAGTAAGTAAAGAAAGCATTACTTTTCAATTAGTAAATTTAATATTAATAATTAATTTTGTGTTTTTTTACATTTTTTTTATCCTTATTTTTATAACATGATCAGTTAAAATGCACCAGAACAAAGTTATTAGAAATTGGATGCTAAGTTTACTCAAAAAAATACCTGGGTAAATAAATGTCCAGTTAACAGAGTTGATAGAATTGCAACAGTTTTATAAAAATATCCATGTTTTTCTAATGTGACCATGGTAAGATTTTTTTTTTCATTGTTGTTTTTATATTTTTATTGGAAAAAGTCTAACAGTGTTCCAAATTCACAAATCGTTTCTAAAGTGAGTAGTTATTTTTTCAAAACTGCAATTTCTTAATGGGTTGTCCTATAAATTTTCTCTGTTTTTTAACATTGTTTGCATGCTTTTTTTTATTATTGTTTAATTCAGATTGATGGCAAAATATCTGTATTAAAGTCTTCTGTCACAGTTGACTCAGCGAGAGTAAGCTTGACTGAAGAAATTGACACACTTTTACATTATGCAATACTCAAGTTGGTAGTTCTTAGCCCACTGCCACCCAAAGCTAATGCAGGTGAGTATGTATGCATAAACAACCCTTAGAATTATTATAACTAAAATGGGCAATAAATTGCCGACCTTAAACTGCTGCAGATTGGCATCAGATTTGGCAAACATAAAACCATTTTTACAAAAGTTTCACCATAAAAGATGAAAACGAGGTCAGCAAAAAATTGTTTTTTTAAAAAATTTGTTTTTTGCTTGGTTAGGGTTAGGTACAATAGTATATTAAAATCATTTAATAATTAAATAAGGAATGTGTTTTTAGATACAAAAGTTAAGCACTTAATAAGCACTAAGAAGAATAAGACTAAAACTGGATATATATGTATATATATATATATATATATATATATATATATATACAAACATATATATATATATATATATATATATATATATATATATACAAACATGTATATATATATATATATATATATATATATATATATATATATATATATATATACATACATACATGTATGTATGTATGTATGTATGTATGTATGTATGTATGTATGTATGTATGTATGTATATATATATATATATATATATATATATATATATATATATACATACATGTATGTATGTATGTATGCATGTATGTATGTATGTATGTATGTATGTATGTATGTATGTATGTATGTATGTATGTATGTATGTATGTATGTATGTATGTATGTATATATATATATATATATATATATATATATATATATATATATATATATATATATATATATATACATATACATATATATATACAAATAAATGAAATGAAAAAAATTCTTATTAATTAAAAAAAAATCTTAAAACAAGAAAAAAAAATATTTAAGAAAAAAAATTCTTAAAACAAGGAAAAAAATTCCTTGTTTTAAGAATTTAAAAAAAAAATTCTTAAAATAAGGAATTTTTAAAAAATAAACCCTACAGATTAGTCAAGCCCCATGAAACTCCCAGGAGGTTTGTGGGGAAAAATTCTGAATCAGGTATCTGAAAGTTTCACTTTCCTTATCAAGAACTTTCAGCAGTTGCTTAACAACATCACCAGTTTGATTTGTAGATGTAGCAATATCATAATGTCTTTCAACTAAAGGTAGGTTGCTGATGTTGCAGGTACTAAGAATATCCACGTCATGTAATTTTCCTTATTAGTGTTTAACACAATTTTGACTATCCCAGTGAATACAATCACAGTACAGTTTGTAACGCTTTTTAAGTTTGTTCGTGAGAGCTCGTTGACATTTCTTTACTGTATATTTACCGTAGGGGAAGTTGGGGTACAGTGGATCGAGGTACACAGTGAATGATGGGCATTTTCTAAAAGATTAAAATTTTGTTCATTTTAACAATGTAATAATTTTATGTGCTCATATATCAGCAATTTTTATTTATAGGACAATAAACATTTTTCCACAAATTTGTTATCGATTTTTATATTCTTCAAATCGTTTTTGATGTACAGATCTTCTACAATATTTCCCAAAAAAATTCAATTCTTTTAGTCACATTTTTTGAAATTACGAAAAATAGAGTTCGGAAAATGTAGTTGGGAGAAAATCTTTTTGTATATTCACTTCTCCGATGTTCATTTTATCTTCATACTAAGACTTTAAAACTTTTTCAAAATTCTAAAAGGCTCTAGAAGCCAATTTAGTATTTAAAAACTTTTTTAACGAAGCTAAAAGCGAAAATGAGACGGCAGTTTAAATGTTGCCATCATAAATATTTTAAATTTTGTGGAAATACTAAATTTCTTATATTTAACGACTGATGATACATTGAATGCTAGGAATCAGTATCAAAAAAAGATCGATAAGCAGCTGTACTATGATAATAAACACTAAGGTTTTTAAAAATCGTAAGATGTTTTTAAAAATTTTCTTAAAAAATACCATCTATTTAATGAAAGATTATAAATACTTTAGAGGATAAAAACAAAAGCTTAGGAAAAAAAATAGGTTTAATGACATAAATCTATCCCAAATATTTTGGAGATTCTAAAATTTCTTGGAGTGCTCCTTCTTCAAACCTGTAATTGATTAGTTTAAAAAAAAAACAACAGTGGTAACACTAAGTTCTTTGTGATCCGTTTTGTATTAATTAAATTTGCATTGATAACGCAATTAGGTTGATTAAATTAAGCTCGATAAAAATTTTATCAAAAGATCAACAATTTATATATTATTATTAAAATAATAACCGACTATTTCCTACAAAGAAAAATGAACCAAAAGAAGATTACATTTTGCCCGTTCAACCCAATCTTTTTTATAGATAAAAATATTTTAACAAATTTAGCTAAACACTACAAATAGTAAAAATATACAATCCGCATTTTCTTGCAAACCAAACAAGCGAATAATAAACATTGTTTATTATTGATTTGTTTATATATATATATATATATATATATATATATATATATATATATATATATATATATATATATATATATATATATATATATATATATATATATATATTTATGTAGCTATAAATAAAAAATATATACAAATGTACACGTTTCCTTCGTTGGCATTTACGTCAGTGTGGTTCAAACTAAGTTTTTTTTAATTTTAAAATCGTTATTGAAGAATTATTGAATTCGAAATTAAATACTCAATAAAAATTCCTCACGTAATTCACACGCAATCTCCTTAATTTACTTCTTAAGTAGCTCGTAAAAATTCCCATGAGACTAGTTTATAATCCAAATTAGTGCTTGAAACTTTTCAGTTAATTTTTAACACCATCACCTGAACTGGCCTAATTGATTCCATATACCGTTCATTCGAATTATCTTAGCGTTTATATACTCAAGAGCTTTAGGGTAATAGGGAGAATCCGTTTCAAAAGATGAAAAGTCAAACTCAAAATCAACGTCAACAGTCCGAAACTTCCTGAAGCTCTTGCAGCGAGAAAAATAACTGTTTTTATAAGATTTATCAATTAAATCTAAAATTTCTCGTGCTTTTTCTTTATTTTTCTCCGAATCTTTATTATCGTCGTTAGAATTATTTTTTGTTGTCAACGGTGATTTCACAAATTTGCGTTTTGAGTTCGTTAGGCATAACCCCAAGGAAGAATTTTTTTTATCTACAGTTGTCGGCTTCTAAAATTATGATAAAATATATTAAGCTAAATTTAAAATTTCAGTTAAAATTTTTAAAATTCTGGTTAGGGCCGCTATTAAACCATGAAAATCTAATCAAACCTTTTTAATGTTGATTTTGGGTACACGACCAACATGACACCCAATCCATTCAGAACTGATTGAATCTGGTCGGGTAGGGGCTTTACGCTTTCGTGTGTTTTCTGTTTTATAAAATAAATTAGTATTTATAAAAAAAGTAAAATTAAGAAGGAAATAGAAAATTTTATTTACATAGACAGTAGAACTTGATTTGACATGTGATGCTAATATTAAATGTTAATAAGTTAAATATGATGTAAAAACCGCCCTAAATGCAATGTAAAAACTGGCCCAAAGGTACTGTAAAAAACGCCCCTTGTTATGTAATAATGTAATATGAAAAATGTAATGCGAAAATTGCTCGCGATATTTAGTTTTTATTTGTATGAAAGATTACCAAAGCAAAAATAAGTCTAATGAAAAACCACTTTTTTTCTTAATAGAAAAAAAAATTTCCAAGATAGTAACAATGGCATTTTTTAAAAAATTATCATAATTGAGATATGTCAAAAGATTAAAAAATCTGCGGTTTTCATTATACATTATTATCATTATTATGAATTATAATAATAGAATAAGAAAAATACAACTTTAAAACTACCTTTTTTAAGAGCGTCTTTAACCACATGGCCGCACTCGCAAAACTTTGCAGCAGAAGAAAGCTGCTAAAACAAAAAAATTAAGGTAAGTTTTTTATGGTTAATCACTTCATGTAACCACATTCACCTTACGCAATTCCATACATATTTACATACACCTTACACAATCTCCGACCACTTTTTTCCAACACCACAACTTTGCTTATTAAAAAAAATACATTACATCTCATAAAAAAAACAAATATTGTAAATAAAAATATTTGTTTTAACGTTAATTTATTAGATAGTAAATCTATTCATAGAAGCCTAATATAACTGTTAGATATTATTATATCGTATATAATATTTTTTCAATTATATTATACATTATCTCTTCTATTATATAGCAGGAAAAAAAAAAGCAAGAGTAAATACAATTAAGCATTATACTCAATTAAATTCTTAACTAACTGCACCACTCTTTGCATTGAGCGTTTAGTAACTCTTAAAAGCTTAATGAAAATAAAAAACAGGAAAAAGTGCGCTGTTCTATGATGTATACTATCTTAAAAAGTTTAAACAATCTTAAAAAGTTTAAAGTGCCGAACATTTAAAATGCAGAACATCAAGATTATTTAAATCCTGTTTAAAGTTTTCACTTTTACGAAGTGTAAAAGAAGAAAAAGACAACAACAACAACACCAACAACAAATGCGATTGCAGTAATTCCACACAGATCTGACACACTCTAAAAAGTGCTGAGAAAATTTATTTGTACAATACCAAAATAGAATGAACAAATAATTGGATAAATCTTGTATTTTCAATGAATGGGAAATTTGTTCATAAAAAATTTCGGAAAGTATCTTTAAAGAATGTTTTCGAAGAAGCTTTTAAGCTTTATTTTTTACATTTTTTGTTTTAAACTTCGATCAAATTTTATAAATATCATATAAAAACCATCGGGCGGTTTATAAACCATCAGCCGCTCTGCTGATTGGTTTGAAATTATACTATGACAAAAAAAGTTAAATATATTTAAAACAAAAAATTTACATAATTTTGTATGCCTACAAAAACCATCCGAATATATATATATATATATATATATATATATATATATATATATATATATATATATATATATATATATATATATATATATATATATATATATATATATATATATATATATACATATATATATATATATATATATATATATATATATATATATATATATATATATATATATATATATATATATATATATATATATATATATATATATATCTGCTTTGCTAAAACTATAAAAACAGGTTTCGCTTAAAGACAACTATGACATAACATTAATATTAACTATAATATTAAAAGATTTTTAAAAATCGGTATATTTTAATGAGTACCTATTCTTTTTTAGTGTTACAATAGAGACGAGGTTTATCGATTTTATTGCTAGATGTTTAAAACGTTTAATCTATTGTCGACAAAATAAAAATGATTATTTATTTTAATATGAAGAATTTGCAATATAAAATGCATTTATTTATTTTGGTTTAAAATTACACATTTTAAAAGTGGTGTGATGTAACCCATCAGTGCCCACGTGGAATTAAGTAGAAAGAAAATGACGCATTAGTAACGCGCCAAATTTTGTGAAATCTAAGGTTTTTTTAAAAAAAAAAAATTAATTATATTATGTTATAACTTTAAACAAAACTGTAATTGGAACAAAAATTAACAAACATATCTATGTTTAAAGATCGCAAATAAAAAATTTCATTTTTTATTCCCCTGAAAATACCTTGAATCAACATAAAAAAAAAACAACAGAAATAATTTAAAATACGGTAATTTTAAAATTAGAGTACAATTAAAAAACTTTCGAAGGTTTAAAGTCAGAGGTTTTAGATCGGGCGCTATGATTTTCGCGTCATTAAAAAAAAAGTCTCGATATATATTTTTTCAAATAAATAGTCTTAATATATATCTAACCTAAACCTTTGCCCTTCCGTCCCTCTTATCTCTTATGGAACTCCAAAGCTAATGACCAACTTTACAATATTAATAATAATGAGACGTTAATTCTTTCTCTAAACCTAAAAACTTTCAAACAACTCTTGTTTTAGAGTCACCGTAATTCTTTTTGCCTAATGTTTTAATATCAAAACAAAATTTATTACAAGTAATATCAATATTATATATCACATTTTATTATTTTAAATTACAAAAACAAAACAGTATTAATAAACATACAAAGAGAAAGAAAGGTTAACAGCTGATTTAGAAAGGTCAGAAGTATGTTAAAATTGTTCTTTTGAATGAAATATATGCAAATATATATATATATATATATATATATATATATATATATATATATATATATATATATATATATATATATATATATATATATATATATATATATATACATATATATATATATATATATATACATATATATATATATATATATATATATATATATATATATATATATATATATATATATATATATATATACTTATGTATATATATATATACATATGTATATATATACATATATGTATATATATACATATATATATATATATATATATATATATATATATATATATATATATATATATATATATATATACATATGTATATATATATACATATGTATATATATATACATATGTATATATATACATATGTATATATATATATATATATATATATATATATATATATATATATATATATATTATAAAAAAAAAAAGCTTGAAGTTTATAAGTGAATAACAGGCGGAGAGTTTATTTTATTTCTTAAAAAAACCTTTTTATCGTCAAAAATTATTTTAAAAACAAGAAAGTTTTATATAGTTTTATATTAATAATTTTCCGTCGAACAATAGAACGTTTATTCTTAATTATTTTACACCGAATGATAGAACGTTTATTCTTAATTATTTTATTAAAGTAATGGACATTTATTGCTTATTTTTAATAAGATTTATTTACAGTTTTAATCGTATTTACTTACGACTCTATTTCTAAATAATTTTAGATAAAAACAATAAGAAAATGAATACTTGCACTTGTAATAATAAAAGTTTTTTTTAAAAAGTTATATAAGCGTCTAAAATATATTGGATTTATACTTTCGGGTATGATTTTTAAAAAAGCGACGCGTACATCTCAATCCGCAAATAAAGATATATTTATTATTAGAGAAAATAACATATTTTTTAAGATAATAAAAAAAACTTTAAACTTACAAGTGGTCTGCTGCAAGCTATACATCTTTGAAAATCATCCATTGTTAAATACTTTTAAGAAACTTCACTAAGCAGCAAACGGAAAAACT